ACCAATATTCTGTTGCAGTCAGTTTTCTTTTCCAGGTCTGTGGACTGACAAGTGATGCACTTACACAAAGCTCTTGTAAAAGCACATTAGCAATTAAATTGTTACATGTCTCTTTACATAGCAAGAATTATTTTTGTTTTGAATAACTTTTATATAATTCAGGAGAAGCATAAACATGAGGATGACATAAAAAATTAATTACCTGAGGATGTCCTTTTCAGGTGGATTTCTTCCTGTCTCTCAGATATTTACAATGTGCCTTTCCTCTCACAGATGCTGAAGGCAGTCAGTTTTCTACAGTGCTTTCTAGTCCAAGACAATTGACTTTTCACTGCCCATGTAAATTATGCTGTAGCTGCAGGGTAGTCTTATACTAATCTTTGCTATTTGAGTTAAACTAATATGTAGATGTTTAAAAAGGGCCATGATATACCCAGAAGAATAAAGGCTGCTGATAAAGATTTAAAGTAATCTTTAATTTCAGATCCTGTGTTCTTTCCAAGTCAGAAACCCTCATGACACAATCCTCCACACACAAAAAAAAAAATAAAAAATAAAATAAATTAATAACGAGGAAATTGTTTGTTCCTTTAAATCATTATGATAGTTTCTATTGTGCTTTAAAGAGCTTCAAATGAATTATGTTGCTGCCAAAGAACACTGCTGCTACTGAGGTGAAATATGTAGAGTTCTATAAAAAGTTTTATAGTTCTCGAAGGTGAAGGAAAATGGTATTTCTGATTTCTTTCAGTTGTTGACCCACCTGAGCCAAGATTTCCAGTATGATCAAAGGCTACTGAATTGATTCTAACTATGTAAAATATTTCAGGCCCAAGAAGGCAGGGGAGAGAGATGACTACAGGTGATGTTCTATATTGCTGCCATTTAATGGTTCTTATGTCTTCTTGTCTGGTACATTGGGAAAAATATCTCCTGTCATGCTGGAGTAGCCCACCTTCCTGGCAGACACAATGTGGATTTCTACAGAAGGGTTTTAAAAACAGGTCTTGGAAAATCTCTCAGATGAGAGAAAGGGGCATGGAATGGGTCATGAGGGACAACAGTATTTGAGGCAGGTCTTGGGGACAGAAAGACATCTTGTCCTAAAAAACCACATCTCCACAGCCTGGTCTGGCATCCAGCTTTGGGGCAAACCCACGTGCCCATGGCCCCTCTGCCAGACTTCAGAGCCTGAATTTGGTTACCCATTTCTTTTGCTGAGAAGCTTCTAGACCTCTTCAGTTCCTAAGCAAATTCTTCATTTTATTACAGTTGCATTTGTGGGGAGGGCCCCCATGTTACACCAGTAAGATAAATAAAGGGATAACCAATGTCACCATTGGCACAATAATTTTCACAGGCCACAGCAGTAGTGACAGAGTAATGCAGGGTTTTCCTTACATCTGCAGCCAGCAGATCTAAAAGAACACCACTGTTTCCCCTCCTAACTACAATCACTGTGAGCCTGGAGGCAGCAGGAGTTACCATGGGAGGGATGCCTACAGCGAGCAGCAGGTTATGCAAACAGTTTTATAACCTGCTGAGGAGAGGGCGGCAGGGAGGGGAACACGAACTTCCGCTCCAAATCAGACGTCGGTTTCATTTTTATTTTCGCTCTGTACCTACAGTTCTGTGCTTCCAGGACACACAGCTACTCTGGAAATTCAGCACCTGGCCTCCTGCCTGACATCAAGCAGTTAACTTCGTATGCAAGATGAGAGAGTGAACAACGTGTCCATGAGATAACACCAATGTCATGTCATTGTACCCACTGCATCTCCCCCGCTTTGTCTTCTTACTCCTGTTCTTGTGCATGCATCACATACTTTTTGTTACTGTAAAACGATCTCTGAAGTCTGATTAGAACAATTCTCCTGTTTGTAAGGGGAAAAGCAGAGAGAGCCAAAAAAAAAATCTCCTGAGCTGCGTCTGACTCCTCTTCAGAGAAGAAGAGAAACAGAAGAAAAGGAATTGACAACCACAAAGTTTCTACAGAAGAAGGAACGGCAACAGGCAGCCTTGGGAAATTTTAGTTTTTACTTTGTCCTTGTATTTTTGTGGAAGATCTCTGTCCCTAAAATCCACGCCATATTAACTATGAAATCTACCGAAAAATCAAGAATGCAAAATGTGAAGCTGCAAGAATAACCAAGCACACCTAAACAATTCTCTCAGAAAACACCAGAGAGCACTACTGCATAGTTGAGATGATTTACAAGCAGGCTAAGCAATATTATGGGGGTGTGAATTTGGCCTACTTCAGGAAAAAAAACCTCCACACTGCAAACAGCGATTTTCTTAGGTTGGGGTATTTGATTTTAAGGCGTTCGTGCTCCCTAACACCTGACTTCTTTAATGATTTTCTCTGCTGTCAAAACCAGGCTAAATTAAAATATGTATCAAAGGTCAGAGGCACTGAACACAAAGTTACCCAAGATGATGCATTTGACTTAATGATGAGATCTGTACTTAACAAAATAATGTCTCTGGTTCAATTTGGCAGAACGGTTGATCTAAGAGCATTTTTTCACTTTCAGGAGATAGAGATGCTAAGAGAGGTGTTCATTATTGAATAACCAGAACTTATAAGCTTTATTCTGTGTTTCCATTGTAAATCATAGAATCATTCAGACCAGAAGACACCTTAGGAGGTTTGTAGTACAACCTTCTCCTCAAAGCAGTTCACAGCAAATTCTGACTATGTTGCTTAAACTTTGTCCAGCTGGTCTTGGAAAGCTTCACAGATGGAAATTCCAGAGCTGCTCTGGGGAACCCACTGCTGCGTCTATCCTTCTTAAAGAGAATGTTTTCCCTTACACCTAGTCAGAACCTCGCTTGTATCAATTTGTGTCCACGACCTCTTTTTCTCCTATCACACAAGTCAGTGAAGAGCACGGCTCTATATTCTCCACAGCCTCCTCACATGTATTGAGGGGCAGCTACTAGGTTCCCCCCACCTCCCCAAGTCTTCTCCAGGCTGAACACAACCCATTCCCTTGATCTTTCCTCACAGGAGCATGCTCCAGTTCTGACCATCTCAACGGCTTCCCATTACACTCACTCCAGTCTTTCTTAGATCGTAACTATGCGCATTAAATACGCATCCTTTCATACACAGGCTCTCCAAATGCTTCATATTGCTTTTCTTGAAGGCTTCCCTTGTCAAAGTAACAAAGACTTGCGTTGCTTCAGTGGGACCCTAAACGTGAGGATCCCGAGGCAGATGGACACCTCACACTGCACTGAATTAACAGCAGAAGTAGCAGGTCTGGGTATCAGTGGTCTCCCCGCCTGCAGGAATCCAGACATTTTTGCCTGCTGCTCCTCTGTCGGGAAAATAAAGACAAATTCAAAGACCTCCCTCCACTTGAATGGATTTCCTGAGGTACTTACACATACAGGGACTAACTGGTTTACCTAAAATGAATGAAACAGCAGTTTTCATTCACAAGGTACCCAAAGACTGCATTAAACTCACCACAAAAACTTTTCAATCCATCCTTTAATAAATAGCACTTTCATACCCAGAAGGTAACTGAAATGTCATAACTGGTTTCTGGTGCTAAACACAATTAAATGGTGATGTGGCTGATACAATCACAGTGCTGTTACACTGAGGTGGGGTACTTCACTTAATATCCAATTTTTAAACATTTTGAAAGCAAGATCATTACAGTTGCTGACTCGCTGATGGCATAAAGGGGAAAATTTTCTTTTGGTGAACTGATGAAACTTCCTCTTTTCTCCTGCTACCAGTATGGGGGCAACAGATTCTCTCAAACTTCTCTCAATGCAAGTCATTGTCTCATTTTTGAAGTCATTAGTGTTGTAGTGGAAAACATTCATTGTACTGCAAAACATTCCCTCTGCGCAGTGGATTTTGTATCAGATTAAAAAAGAGTTTTAAAAGCACATCTCAAGAAAACATGCAACCTTTCCTTAACATTGTAAAAAGTTCCCTAATATCACTTTGATGAATTTTCCATGTCTGCAAATCTAACAATTATATTCATGTCTATGACAAAAATAAGGCAATAGGTGTACTATTACATTTTTTTACTCACAATGCAGGAGCCTGGCAATGGTAACTGAAATTACCAGTGAAGATTAACCACACTGGATTCATGGCAGACAAAATTACAGCTTACATTTTATCAGCATTCAAGCTGCATTTCTGCCTTGTACATACAATCTTCTGCACTGATCCTGTGTTCATGGCTTGCTGTTCTTTCCACATATTTCAAGAGGTTTGGAGACAGAAAACTATATCAAGTTTTTTGGTACAAGGTTCCAAGTTTAATGACTGGACAGTCACAATCTGGAACTGTGTAGTGAGAATTACAAATCTGAGAGTAAAGCTAGAGAAGTACTTCAGCAAACTACCTTGCACAAACTTTGTAATGGCAAACATAGAGAACTACTAATTTCTACAGTATAAAGTTTTTCCAGTTATAGCCCTGATGCAAAGCTTACTTGGAACAAAAGGGATCACTGTTAAATAATAATCTGAATATAAACATGTTGTAGCCTGACAACAGGCCATTAGTTCTTGTTTTGTGTTTTGATGAAATTTATGCAACTGCCCAAGTTGCCAAGTGAGTTACTTTTCAGAAAATCTACTGAACCCAAATGTTAATATTACCACTAAGAGGTCCTGATAACACTGAACTCTGCAGATGCATCACTGATGAACATTTGTTTAGAAATGTAAATGTATTCTTACGCTACTCTCTTATTTCTACAATCTTTTTTTTCCCCGCTGGCTGAAACTCATCATTGTAATATAAACCTCACAATATTGAAAATATTAATATTAATGAAAATGTGTTCACAGTGCAAAAGTAATGACTCAGACCTGTAACTTCTCTAACACATTCTACCAACAATCTCTTAGGAAACAAGTGTCAAATACTGTGACTTTATACAAGTAGCACTAGTTAAAATTTTATGAGAGCACACAAGTATGTTTTCAAAAATTTTATTTTTATTGTTTGCACTAACTGTATCATCATTAACAGCTTTCATCTCTAACAAACGAAAGCAAATCAGCACATACAAAAACCTATGCAAGGTCAGCATTCCTAAAGCAGAACCTCTGTTATTTAAATGCACACCTGGGTGTGTAACAAGTCTAGTGACAGTTCGTTCATCCTAACACTTTAAACACAGTCACTCCAGTCTCATGCATTTTTCAGGGCTGTTAAAAAGTTTCATTTTAGGGGCATAAAAAGAAAACACCTACAAGATTAATAGAGATAATTCGTTTTTAAACCAAAATTCTTATGTCTAAATTATTAAACTACAGCAAGGACCCTTCTTCAGCTGTAACAATTTTGCTCTGCAAAACAAAAAAGAAAAAAAAATTAGTCACTTTGCTGTTTTAGGCATAAATTATCATTAGCAACCTAAACACTTGCCAGCTCATGCTGCATATACTCCCATTTCTGTCAAGTGTTTGCCAGGTTCACTCACCAGCTCCTGGCTTTCTCTCTGAGCCGAAATGGAAGTGCATATAAAACTAATCAGTTCTGCAATGAAGAGCTTTGCTTTTTTAAATCCTTGTGGAAAACCTGAGACTTACCAGGCAAGCACCTGCATGTGATCTCTTGTCAAACCTACAGTAACAGACCCACAAACCAAGACAGTCCATTTGGTTTTACTCATTTCTGCAAGTTGTTTCTTAACTAATTGTTGAAATTAAAATAGTTGATTATTAACTAGCAGTTTTGATGAATAAACTTTATCCTCTCAGTTTCTGAATGTAGTTTTAATTTGTTCTAGCTGGTGCAGCATTTGTTATTGGATCTGATGCATTTGTTATTTATCTTACTTCCCTGGGATAAATCCAGAAGGGAAGGAATGACAGAAGGAGAAAAATTAGCCCAATTCAAACAGTTAGAATGGAAATACTGTAAGATTAACAACAATAGATAGGGCAAACATCTGAGTACGTACTAAAGACCTCATGTGAGGCTGTAAGGGAATCCTGAACTAACAGGCATCACTGAAAGTTTAGCCCAGCCCCTCAGAAGCCACAAAACAGGATTTGCAATGTCAGATTTTAGCAAGTGAGACTAGAATCTCCCTGTCCACATCCCTGAGAGATCCCCAAAGTAAATTTAAAACAAAAGTACAATAGAATTACTGTTGAGTATATTCTACTGTGCTTCCAGATGCTAATTTTACCTGAGGTGAGTCCTTAACCCCTAAAGATGCCAATGATGTAGGAGCAGAAACCATGCAGGGATTCCCAGCAATGTTCCCGTGCCAGTCTCATTGCTTCTGTTTCATTTTCAGACCCTTGCCCTGCTCCTCTCATAGAAGTGGACATTTTCTGCACTGATTCTTCCTGGTTTGCTAGCTCTTCTGGCTCCACACCAGTAGCTATTTGCTTCATGAGAGCCTCTGGAGGAGCCTTTTGGCACATGGAGGTCTTCAACACTTCTGTGGATTCACAGGCATGAGGGATCTTTCTAAGTTCTGCGGCGATCTGATTCCAGTAAATCTTTGGATTATTTCTGAAAGCACGACAGACTGATGGCTTGCCAGTGAATTCACACCAGTAGGACATGTCTTGGCTTTTGCATTCAATTCTAAGTTTCATCTCCTCATCGTCCCCACTAATGCTCATTGTGCAAATGTCTTTGGTTTTAGTCCGAAATTTGATTTCTTCACCATTGCTTCTTCTCTTTGGCTTCAGCTTCTGTCCCAATCCTCCCATGCCACAGATAACAACTAGGAAAAGAAGAGTAAAACCCTTCATGGTGTGAGGAGTTGACTGAGATCCCTGAGCAACACGATCCAGTAAATGGTTGCTCACAATTTAAAGGTTTGGTGCACAAAGAAGCCTCTTTCCAGCAAAACATGGGATGTAAGGGTTGGGCTTTTTTATAAAAATAATAAATCACACTTCAGTAGGCATGTGCCCATAATTTATAGCCTGAGGGAGTGTCGAATAACCTTGGGAGTGTGAACTCCCAAGAAGGTAACAAGACAAGTCTTGTAAATGCAGTTAAATACAGAACGATAGTTGTATAACTGAGAAGCACATTCCTATTCAGGATGAACATGTCATATTTGATTTTTAACAGATATTTGCCATTCTCCAGCTGCTTTATAGCTATCTTCATGCCAGAGCTTGTAAGACCATATCAAACTAAAAAAGATAAAAGTGTCAAAACAATCTCTGCAGCTACATCTGGATGATCATAAATGTGTCCTAGTAAAAAAGGCTGATTTGTACAACAGGTTTTCTTTGGATTTGCACAGTAAGGATGCACCTTTAGCACTTCGTTTTGTCAGCACATGACATGCAGTGAGGATGCATGAAAGATAAACCGTACATTTTTTGAGCCATGAAAGATTTTTACACTTGCAATACTTAAGCAAGATAAGGAATAAAGCTTGAGCAAAATAAGGTATTACAGGCCTAAACATACACCAAACGTTTGGAAGTTTTATCATCATTGTCACAGCATGAGTTACTTTCAGCAGACAGAGCAAGACATCAGAACTAATTTATCATGGGTCACAGCAGCAGGAAACAGACCACAAAGCATATCAGACAGACATTTGTGCTTCATCACTTTTTACTTTTTTTTTTCTTTTAAAAAAAAAGGTATTTTCCTGTTCATAAAAAGTGAGCTGTAAAAATGACATAAAATAAAGGCAAGAGAATAGAAATATTTTAGTGTGGTTTCTGCTGCAGTAACTAAAAGCAGAGCTAAGGAAAAATCACTGTAACTCCCTTGGCATTCAGAAGGTCATGAGGAAAAGCCCCTCCCTTGCTGTGTTAAGACACAGTACTTTTCTGGCTAATAAGACCCCCATCAGGCACTTCTTCCTAAGACATATATGCTACATTCAGCTTTACCTGAGCAGCTGCTGGAAAGGGGTATTAGGTATGCAACTGTGAGGTGCTAGAAACCCTGGGGTTAAGACTGGTCATACATAACAGAACAGAACACCATTTTCTGTATCTAGTTGCTCACCAGGCAGCATTAAAGAAAACAGTATGGCAAAAACATTCATTTAACACATTGGGCAAAGCAGAACAACAACAACAACAACAAAAGTTTCTTGGGGCAGTTGACAAGTCCCAGCTGCTGTGGGGAGTCCCCAGCTAATCTGGAAGTTGCCCACTTGAAGGTGAAGCCATCTGGAACATCCATTCTGGGTATCATGAACCTTGTTCTTCCAATGTGTCATCAAGTTCCACAGGACTAAATACCATTTAACAGAGAGAACAACCTTGTTTTCTTTTCATCCCCTTCTCTAAGGCTATTTTAGTAACATTTTTAGTAGAGGCCTCATCTCTTTTCTCCCATTAGTTTCTCCTGTCTGTCTCTTTCAAGGTAGGGTGTGGTTCTCCAGCCAAATCTAGGGACAACAATGGCACAAACCTACTTAAGACTTAAAATTCACTCTTAGTTGTTTTCTAGGGAGTCTTTTTACCCTTCAGCCAGCCAGAGAGAAGAATCCCCTTGCCCACTTCACACTTAATTTCAAGGATTTCAAATCCCTATTGCAAGCACTCAAATGCCTCATAATATTTGACAAACAACTGTATTGTTTGCACTTTGTTATGCACAACAGCATTGACAGTTCTTAGATAAGAAACTAAAGACATCTGTCTCATTCTAATAACTGCTAAAGAGTTTAAAACAACTTAAAAGTTACTTTATACCACTTTCAGATCTCTTGTTCTCAAAGTTTTCAAGTTTAATCATGAAAACAAATAAATTACAAGGATAAGGATAAATACCAAATCTTGGATTACAGTATATTTACATATTACAGCTACCAGGTTACTGCCAAGTGTTTGTCTCACTCCCGTCTGACTTTGTGTCCTCTGTCTGCCTGTGCTTCAGATGAAAGAGCTCATGGTCTCTTGTATCAGTAGAAAACAATTGTCCTTTTACAAGGTAAGCTAGAATGCCAGCAGTGAACTATGGGAGCCGAAGAACTAGCAAATGTTTAATTCTCCTGTCAGGGCTACAGAAACAGGTTATATGGATATACTCCACAACTCATTAGCTTGAATCCTACCATCTTTGCATAATTCAGATCCTTTGTGGAAGTTGGAAGCTCCCTCACCCAGAGTCAATGTTCTTTCAGTCCATCCTGCTCCAAAAATAAAAGTCAAATACAGCAGAAATTTTTATTCAGGGTAAAAAAATTAATTTTCCTAAGATTTTAACTCAGTGCAACTCTTCTGAGACAGGTCTACACAATGAAACAAGTGAGAATCAAACATCAGGTAGTTAAGCAAGTTCTTTTTTATTTAAATGAACTGGGAACATTTTCTCAAATTAAAAATAGAAACTTTTAAAAATCTGCAGTTCTGAACATTACATATACACATATGCTACATACTGTCTATTAGAAATGTTTCCATTTATGATGCAAAAATTAAAAATTTAAGGTTATTCTGGATTAAAGACTTGTATCACTTTTCAAGCATTTCTTTGAAATTATAATAATGACTTACAGAATTAACCCTACTTCAACATAATGAACCTTGCTGGAAACGAAGTTGACAATACTGATATATGAAGAGATTATTTTAGATCAATATATCCAACTACTACACCTGCCAAAACATTTTAGACTGGTAACATACATACTTTTGGCCTTTTGATGAATTCTGTTGTTAACTAACTCAGCAATGCAACTGTTTGCCTAAATTCAAGGCTGTAACTCTTAGTAACACAAATGTTAACTCCATTGTTAAACATATTTGAATTTTAACATTGGAAATCACAGTTTAAAATTATTTAGCAAGAACAGTATCACTGCCCCCAAAAGAGTCACAGTGATACCATTAAGGACGTTACAGAAGTGGGTGTCAAAGAGGAAAAGGAAGACAGAGAATGTAAAGCATTCTAATAATTGCCAACATAGGACATCCCTCATGCTCTTTTTGAGTACTACTGAACTCTAGAAAGCTTAGTTTTTTCACTATATTATGCAACCCGCACATTCCCATCCCCCCCCCCTCAAAGTTTAAAAACAAACTTCTCCAGAAAGTTTTTTTTAGGTCTATACTGCAAAACCCTCTAAATATTAAATAATTTTAAAAAAAAAGAGGAAGAAAACAAAACTACAACTGAACTTTTCAGATGCACAAAGAGACACAGTGGAACCCATTAAAATTCAAATTTAGTCCAATGTGGTCATTCAAGAGCACCAAATAGCAACACTGATCATGCTGGTAAATTCATTTGTGTAGAGTATTATACAATATTAAAATCTTAACTAAACACTTAGAAGTTTTAAGAAAAATGTATATACAAAAGTCTCTGTATACAAAATGTATTTTTATGTAAACGTGTATGTACTGTATTTAACACAAATCAACAATTTAAGATAAGAACTTGAACAACTGTCAGAGAATTCCTAGGCAAAGGCTGTTATCTAATTAATTTATATACTGTGATGTAAGGTACAAAGCCCAGTGTAAAAAAAGTAAAAAACAGAAAACATTTTTATTCAAGCCTTGAACAGTGGTATTTGAGAGGCAGTGCCCTGATCTCAAAATATTCTGTACAGTAGTTTATGGCATAACATTCAATAGTATATTTGGGATTTACAGTACAGCTGACATAAATGGCTCAGGATTCGTCAGATGAATGGAAATGCCAATACACTTGGAAGAATAATGATATGCTCCCGTAGAAGAATCTTGAGCCTCATTTACATAGCCTGGAAATAATAACAAAAACAATTCAGGAAAATCTGATAAAAAATTGATAAAGATAAAATTTTAATGTCATTTAAACAGAATGAAGGCACAGATTTTCATATGAACCTGAATATGGTTGAAAAAGTTTTTTATTTTTAAACCTTAGAGCACCTTAGAGAGTTACAGAAATCAGAGCAGCTTTCTTAAAAATAGTAAAGTAGTAATAGACCTAGAATTGACTTAAAAAGCTTATTACTTACCCCTTAACGTTCCCAGTATGTGTTACCACTGTTCCACAGAGCTGTACAAGGAAAAAAAACAGAAACCAAACCCATCATTTTCTTTTGGCCACAAATGGAACAGAAATACTTTGTCTAACTAAGGTGAGACCAGCTCAGTTGGCACAGACTCTTCTCAGCCTTTACCCATTCAGTCAAGCATTCTTCAAACAAGAGGAAATAGATTTATGGTTCTCTCCATCAACCTTTCTGGTTACCTTTGTGTCATGACAGAAAGAAATGCCTGGATCGCCTATCCAACACCATTCCTTTGCAAACTTAATCCTCCTTAAACTTAAGCCTCCTGTTTTGCTCTCACAAAAATGGTGGCTGCATTTAGGTTATTTGTATCTTTGATATGTATATGAAAACCCCTTGTGTGAGACACACACACCTCAAAGACCTCTCACTTGTACTTACATATCTTAGTGTTATAAAAATATTTGCCTCTCTTTCCTGATTTTGAAGGCCAAAAAAAAAATCCCAACCCTATGGGATTCTTTAAAGCTGCAAAAGTACAGGTGCACAGAGATCTATTCAAAGTTGTATCCCTCAAAGCATCTCCAAAAATAATTTGTAGGAAATCAAAAAAAAAAAATCAAGGATAAAAGTGAAGAGTATGCTGAAATGAAAATTAAAACCAAGACTTTATTCATATGGGAATTCCATATTGAGAAATTCAAAGCATGTATGCCATAATTAGCAGTTTTTCAAATTATCTCAGCAGATCAGAAGCCAGCACTGTTTCAAACTGAATGTTTAAATTTTATTACAGAAGCCCATTTTAAGTAACTCAGAATTTAGGAAAAGGAAGTCAGGACTGAACTAGTGGATCTTTGTGTAAAA